GTGCGCTTTGCATATCAAAAAATACCACATATATACGTTATATAAACACATATATAACAGAGTTTTGTACAATCGAAGAACTCTTGCTTGTTAAGAGCAGTTGATTTGTATCTAAGCATGTATTTTACTAACCAGAACACTGATAATGATGGTCACAACGAGCAATAAAACATTGACCGATCTGTTTAGGGCACTGTGGCCAAATACAAATTTCTCTCCAGTAGTAAAATATATTACTGTCTTATTAGGTCCCGCCTTTCTTACTCGTCTACCAGTGCAATCCTTAATAAGTGCAGTGACATAAGGTATCTCAGAAATAAAGCACAGCATCGCTGCTTCGGGAAACATCAGATTTAGCTGTGAGCCGTTTTGAAGGCTTCCATGTATTAAAGTTCCTGAATTCTCGATTGTAATCTTAGTAAATTTAGATAATTTTCCTTCATGAAAGGCCACAAAGTATGTTTGACTAGTAACATTTGTCCATATTGAATATGCAGAACGTTTTGGCGGACTGACTGATCTCCATTTCATATAAAATGCTTTCTTAATCCTGCCGCCGCATAAATAATAAACAGTTTCATCCTCGATAAATCGGCAGTCGTCGAAAACTCCTTTTATTTGATAACATGATACTTGTACTTTTAACAGTATGATGATGATTAAAATCAATGCAACCCGCAGAAACATCCTCTTCACATCTAATTATAAAAGTAGAGAAAAATTTAGAAACTTTTACAAAATCAAACATTAAATTTATTTTCTATAAATTATAAATGATGTGACATAATTTCTCTATGCTTAGACGATTAGTCTATTAACTATTAATTATGAAGTCTGCTATTTTAATCACAAACACATATACACACACATATTTAGATAAGCAGACAGGCATGTCTTTGTCTTTACTTCATATTCAAATTATTTTTTAAAGCGTGATAATGTCTTGTCGATGTTTATATTGGCCAAATGAACTTAAGCTTCATTAGTGTTTGAAATAAGTTCCTGGGATATGTTCAGAGTTACTATATATAAATGCAAAATGTACAGCAATCAGCCCAGTGAACCCAAAGTTTTCCATTTACTTCGGTATTCAAGATATGCCTATTAGAATCCAGATCCAATAAAGTTCTATCGATAGTTCTGTGAATAAGTAAGTGTGAAGCAATATCAAGGTTATACATTTATAATTTCTAGCTTTTGTAGACAGATGGTCGGGAAGTTAGTTTAACTTAACTCTTCGTTCTGATGCACTAGATAATTCGTTTTATTAAATAACTTTAAAACTTGATCTGTGTAAATATTCTACCCTAAGTTCCGATTCTCAATGAGCTCACAGGGAATACAAAAATGCAAGACTTTGGATAAATGTCATCCATTAGTCAAATAGTATTCGCTTGTTTCTCCACTGCTTGAGATGCATAAAGCTCTGTGGCAGGCTATGTCTTTTAATGCGAGCTCCATAGGTAAGTATCGTCGGTTGTCAAAGAGGGCTATATTTGAAGCGAAAGCGACGCAAATCGTGATGTGAATTGTCAAAACGGTCAACGAGCAAATGATTGTCGTTGTAGTGCCGCACTGATAATTGCAGTCAGTTCTTGGCAAGGAAAACGCGTCCAATGCATGCAAGCCCATTGACCAGCTAGCCAAACGCTTTCTATGGCCTTTGCTTAATGACAGTTTCGACAGTTTCGGTTTTGATTGCTGTCACTGCAGAGCCAAGCAAAACAGAAAAAAAAAAAAACCAACATACCCAATGGTAATGTGGTTGTTGACACTAATTATAACTGGAATTGCATGTGGCTGGCTGGGTGCCTGCCCGAATGCATCTGACCAACTAGCTGGCTGGCTGAATGTCTGCCTGCCTGTTTGCCTGCCTTGGGCGTGCATTTCCACCTGCAGCAAGTCGGTCAGTTTTTCATTATTTTCATGCTGCATTTAGCTCACGTTTTAATTAAGTCGTCGCCAGAGTCGCCAGCAACTTGCGATTCGTCGTGATCGTTGTTATTGTTGTTGCTGCTGCCTTGGCTAGGGCATGGCTGTCGTTGCCGTTGCCGTTGCCGTTGCTGCACTTGCATGTAAATCTGCTCATCACTGTTGATGGCCATATTACAATCCAGCGCTCCTGTCACCTGACGTACCCCATCCCAGCTCCATTCCCCCACAACATACTCCCCCGTCGCCTCTTGCAGAGCAAGTGCACTGAAATGAATGCGATTTGCAGTCGACGCGTCTCCGAGTTGCATTTGCAGTTTAGCAGTTTGTACTGCAGACTTTGGCAATGTTTTTCTCTTTATGGATTTTCACTGGATTTCAGCTGCATGTCCGTTGACACGTAACGTTCAGTTTTTGGAAAATGTTAACACACGTTTTTGCTGCCGCTGTTGTTGCCGTTGCCGTTGCTGTCAAATTGCAAAAATGCTTCGGAATGTCTAAATAATACGCCTTTTGCGTCACTTCAAACAGGCTGAAAAAACTGTATATATGTATGTATGTATACACTAGCCCGACCTACCGCACAGCAAGTTCTGTGAGCTTTGATTTTCTGCCTGAATTATAAATAAAGATTTCATCATCATCAGCAACAACAGCCAGACAGCCCGATGGGCGTTCCGCTGCCAATTACTATATATATTATATACACACACATATTTATATATATATATATATATATATATATATAATTGGTGCATATAGGAAGACATTTGGAATTGGCTTTGTAATTTTGAAAACCTGACACGTCTTGAAGCTCAAATGCAAATGTGCACTTGAATATGACAGTCTTTATGAGTTTTAAAAATGCAAACGTTTGTTTTTTGTTGTTGCTTATTTGAAGCTTATTTCCTATTTGTCATTGCTTACTTAAGAACTATAAAGATAAAGCACCATATTTGTGTTTGTGTTTTGAATGGTAAAACTATATCAATTTAGAAGTGATATAACAACAAAACAATTTTGAAATTATAAAACATGAAAGCTAAGCATGATCATATCAAAGCTGTGCTCAGTCGAAATTTCAGGTAACAATATAATTTTAAAAATTTTGATATAGAAAAGTTTTAGATAAATGAAGCTGTTTATGTAATACTGAACCAATACAAACAACAAAATAGTTGAAAGCGTAAAGAACTTATAATATTAATTTTTTATTTATTTTCAATTTATTTATTTTATTTTTATTATGGAATTATTACTTGTTAAAATAATGTGTATATATATGTATTTAGGTTTAAGTGAATTTTATGAATTTTATTTTATTTTTATTTATTTTCATTATTATTATTATTATTTTTTAATAATTCCATTTTATTCGGGATGTTTTATAAAGAAGTCGTACAGCATTTTTAATTTAATTACTATTTAATTTAATTTTTATATAAACTCAAAAAGCAAAAAAAAAAATAAAAAATAAAAAATGAATATATTTCTATTTATATAACTGTCCAATGCGCGTTTTTATCTGATCTTCCTTCTAATGCAACAGCACTTGACTTGGCATCAGATAATTGCCCCAATGGCTTGTTTGGGGACTCGTGCCTTGTTTTGTAGACGTGTTATTGCCAGCCAATTGCCCATCAATAGCTAAGCTGCACGGCATGGCTAACAGGGAAGGAGCTGCCGTTGAACGATTGCATCGACTGCAATTGGAAAATTCACTTGAAATGGCAAAAGCCGGACTAATTGAGGGTTCATGTACCGCATGCCAAGCAGGGCCGGGGGTGGGAAATGCAAATGCTTGCGAATGCCAATCGAACATCTATTGGCCCACAGTTGGTATCTGTATTGGGAAAATGTTTCGAGTCTCTCGCACCCTGGCACAAATCAAAGTGGCAATCAGAGAAACTGCAGATTGACATCTGTCCGATTTGCATCTACCGAAATTCACGTTGGGGTAGCCTTTCGACTTGGCCCAATCAATGAGGCTGGCGAGACTCCCAGTTGGGTCTTCATCCGGCGACCATAAGCGATTAAGTTTGTTGGTCCCCGGGGAAAACAGAGAGCGGATCAGCAGCTACAACTCAACTAGCTGCGAGGGTGTTTCGCTAGCTCATTGCGAGAATGTGTTGATATTTTTGAGACAGCGAAACAATTTCGAAATTGAGTGAAACCGATTTCCCACAGGATTCATATGCCACAGTGTCTGTGTGTCTGCCTGTGTGTTGTGTGTATCTGTGTGCTAAACTTTTGCTGGCAGTCAAAGCTAAAGAACCTCCAACCAAGACCAGCCCCCCAATCGTCCAAATGAAGAAAATGTGGTTTCGGTTACGGTATTTCACTGTTTTGCTTCGCTCAGTCCAACCACCCAGCGAAATCATAGAAAAACCCAAAGCTTGTTTGTGTGTATGAATGTGTGTGTGCGTTTGTGTGTCTGTGTCTATTTTTTTATGGAAATTTACGAAAACTTTTCGTAGGCATTTTGTTTATTTCAGTTGCTGCTGCCACTGGGGCAGTAGAAAGCGCCGAACAAGGCAGCTGGAACAAGGATAAAAGTTTCGGTCGGCCTCCTTCAATGCGGTTCCTGCTGCGTGGCATTCGTTTGCTGATGTAGCTGCTGTCGTTGTGGTCGTTGTTGTTGTTGTTACGGTTGTTGTTGTTTATTTTATCATTACCATTGGCAATTTCTTTTAAGTGGTGCCAATCTTTTTTCACTTGTTATGCCCAAGTTCGAGGGGATTACCCAGCACTGCCTCTCTCTCTCTCTCTCTTTTCCACTTTCTTCCTTTCGGTTTCCTTATCGCATTCCCTCTGTATGTGCAAATTTATTATAGTAATTTTATTCAATCGACAAATCGGAAGTGATTTTGAATTCATTATACTGGATGGACACTCATCGCTCTTCCTTCCGCACTATGTTATGGTAGAATACGGTTTTTTTTATCCACAAGGACATTATTTATGAAAAGTGTGAGTTTATGAATGGGATAGTTTATGAATGGGATAGTTTCGATATATGTTACTTATATATTTCAATAATTTTTTGTATAAATATAGAATCATTAGAATGATGTTGATCGATTTTTATTCAATTTGATCGTAGCAGACCCGGAGCAAACAGTTCTCAATAAGAATATATTTTATTTATAAATTGAAGCTTAAAATTTAATAAAACTTTTCAATTTATCTGAGCTTATGACGTCGAATAGAGGCAGCAATTCCTGTTGAAATAGATTCATGCAGAGATTTCTTTTCTTTACAGAACAGCCAGACTGAGGAGGCATAGTCAGCTCTCGCTAGAGAACTTAAATTCTCACCCATTTTATTTGCCTAAGTCTTTCACTGATATATTTTAAATGCATAGCCAGCTGAGCGATGCACCAGTCGGTCAGTTGGCCAAGCTAAAAGTCAAAGTCGGAGCTAAATGAGCGCATTGACCTCATAAATAACACTCGCACACACACACACACACACACACACACACACACACAGTCCGGGCAGTTTGGTTAAGATGCAGCCCAGTCGCTGGCATTGGCGGGCGCTTGATGCCACTTTGGTGGTGGCATTTCCAGACACTTGCACTTTCTCCGCACGCTTAATGGACAATTAACCTTGATGGCGACTGCGGTTCGCTCCTGACCTTGCACCACAAATTTCAGCCGGCAGTGCAAGGTCGCGTGCTGGCTGCTGAGTCCCTTCTGCTGCAATTGCAACAATTATTGAATTTTATAGCTGCCAAACAGCCATTGGGTTCATATGCATTATTACGTACACACGCGCCCTGCTGTAATTAGTGTGCCACCACCACCTGCTCAACCGCACGGCATGCCTGCTGCAATTCCTAATGTCCCGTTTCGTTTAGTTGGCCTTTCCACTTGCTGCCTGGCGAACGCCTGATTTCCTTGAGGGCCACAATTATTTTACGTTTATTAGCCTTCGCTGTTGGCCATCTCAGCAAGTCAGTTACTTTCACTTTAGCCTAGATCCTGGGAAGCTAGACAATCCAAGAATTGAATAATACAAAAAATGAAATTTTTAAATGAAGCAATGCAGAGCAATTAAAAAAAAAAAAAAAAAAAATTAGTACAAAATATTTGTTTATAATTTTGAATTCTCTACGAAGGGAGCTAAGTGTTGGAACACAGTTTATGGCTTCTAGGCTCGAAATATAAAAATACTTTAAATTAATAAAAAATTATTAATATGTCGGGGCGTTGCGTTTCTCATTCTGGTTTTCCATCTTAGCTGCGCGTATCAACGAATTCCCGGTGTGTCGCTAAACTCTTTTTAATGCCCTTTCTCGTTCAATAATCTTTGACCAAGTTTGACTTCTCGTCTACTCTCGAAACTTCTAATCATTCTAATCATGGTCGCATATTCTTGTTCATCGAAAGCACAGCGACCCTGCTGTGAGCGACATAACTAGCCGTCTCGCTCTCACCCAGCGACACCCGGGACTACGTTCAGCAACAGCTATTGTTGTCTCTCTCTTAGTGACAGTGCATCCTTTAATTGCACCACAATAATAAATCAATCGATTAACACGGCATCAAGATATCTAATTGCAATTTCAACAGTCTAATATCGCACTGACAAATATATCAATAAAAATCGTTATAAATCTGTGGAATAGAAACTTTGATACAGACATAAATAGTTTTTAGACATTCCCTATATAACCTAGTTCCTATTCGCTCTTAGCTAGATCACCATAATCAAAGACACGTGGAAATTATATATATTTAAGAATGAAATTCTTTGAGCACTTATAACTACAGTAATGTTTTATTTACCTGATACAATTAGCTAATATTATGGCCAGTAATAAAAGTATGTCATATGCGATTTAGATGGATTTAGATGGTTCTTTTCGGCCACAATACAATGATATATTGGGGCTCATAATGAAAAATGTAATGAGAGGCATTTATCAAAAATCGTTTGTTTGCAAGAGAAGGCATGTATCTTGTATCTTTATATCTTTGTATCTGCAGCGGCACACATAAAAAATATATAAATGTCGGTATGTGCGAGTATTTGATAATTTTGTGCTGTATCTTGGCCATGAACATGAATCTTTTGGCCAGCCAGCCAAAACAAAAGCGACAGACCAAAAACGAAAAAAGAAAAATAATATGAGAAGTGAAACGAAGTCTCGAGCTTGTGGCCTTTGCATGCGGCTGGAGCTCTAGGGGGATCATCTTCAAGTTCTTTTTTTTTTGACCGACCGTCCGCTGGCCATAAATCTTCGTGTATATTGAACTTTTAGACGATATCAATGAAATTGTATCTCTTTATCCGCATTATTATAATATACGGATGCGAACGCCTGAGACACTCTTCCAGCTGTGGGTGGGTGTGGGGAGGTATCGTGGCTACAGGGCAGCCAGCCCCACCTGCCCCTCCGCTTCAGATATTTCACGACATTATGAGATATTATTTATATGTATATATTTCGTTTTTGTTTTTTTTTCTTTGCTTTCTAAATACTTACTTATGTATATTTCATTATGGGTCGCTAGGCCAGGCCAAACTGAAGCTGGAAAAAAAAATTGCTCATTTCTGTGTATACAGCTTAAGAGGGCGGACAAAGGGAATTTCACGTGCGGGTGGCACAAGATAGATTGCCACCGCCTGCATATTTATGTGAAAAATATCGTTGATACAAGGCAGCAGCTCCTTATGGCAGTCGCCACATGGCAAGGCGGACTCCTTGCTAAGAAAAATTCCATTAAACGAGCCAAGTTTTTCTCTAGGCCAGCTGTGGGTGGGTGGCACGAGTGCTGCTGCTGCTGCTGCCGCTGCGGCTGCTGCTGTTTACTAGTGAGCCACCCAACTACCCAACCACCCACTTAGCAAAAGCGCCCACTCATTGTCAGTGGCGGCAACAACAACAATTGACGACACCCAGAATCACAAATCATATAGATAAGAGCACACAAAGGAATTTATTTCTATTTTGGCATTTTTCGGTCTCTCATTTTGCTTGTAATTTTTTGTTTTTTCTTTTTGATGCTTGTTGTTGCTGTTGTTGTTGCTGCTGTTGTCCTCCATCGATATTTTCGGCTATTTTCACCCCAAAGTTATTGCGTTTTAGATTTTTTTTTTCTGCTGAGCTTCCGCCTACTGCCTTGGGCAGCCGCGGCTGCTTCAAGCTGGCAAAACCTTGCTTCAGTTGCTTAGAGAAGTGGGGAAGGGCAGTGGGGTAAGGAAGGACTGGGGCGGGAGGAGCACGCACCGGAAGCACCGATAGCGCCATGTGTCGAGTGCGTGCGTGCGTTGCCTGCGTGCGTGTCCAGGGAGAGGCATTGGCAGAGGGAGAGTCTCCGCGAGTGTATGTGTGTGGGTGTGGGTGTGCATGTTAGTAGCACTGTAGGGTGTTGCCACATCGTATTTCACCACCCCCAACAGCAAAGAGTCCCCTCCGCCCCACCCGCCAGAGCCATCCGAATAGTAGGCGTTTCGCTTCTTTCATTTTAATGGCGCACACGCATTTGCTTTCGATACAATAGATATGAACATACAACACACAATATATATGATACACAATCTCTTAGCTATGCATGTGTGTGAGTAAGTGTGCCTGTGTGTGGGTGGGTGTGTGTGTGTGGTTCGTGTGTGTGGCTGGGCGTAGTCGTATTTTATTTTCACTCACTTAGTGGCTTTAATATTTTTCATAATCATATCATTAGTTGCAGCCGATGGGCTTAGTTTTTAAATCACTTGGGAAATTTAGCTTACCGATAAGATAATAAACAAACAAGTCTTAAAGCAAACACACGAATAGATTATCTAAAAATAATTGATATTTTCCATTTGACTAGGGAATGTGTGAAAATCTTGAGATTTCTAATTGCTTTCTCTGCTGGGCTACAAAACGAAATAATGTGTATAAATTTTAATTATAAAGCTAAACAGCTAAAAATAATGTATAACAATTTTAATATAAATAATGACTTAACAAGAAATAGAAATCTAAAATAATAAAAATAAAATAAATAAATAAATTTGAGCAATTTCAAATGTAAATATATTTTGTTTTTTATTTAGTGATTGTATAAATATTTTTATTCATACTACTTTGTTTAAATATTTGTCGAACAATAATTTAAAAAACAATTTTTTTTTTTTGTTTCTGTGTAATGTTTTTGGTTTATATATATAATTTTTGCTTTTAGATTTAGATTTAGAATTTTTAGATTTTCTCTAAATAATACTTTATTTAGAGAAAATCTAAATTATATCAATTTTCTTACAATTTATTTCTATTTGTACCTTATCATTTAATGGACATATAAATCGGAGTCTTTAAAAAGAAAAACATAGCATAACAAATTTGCAATCCCTATTAAATTTTTCACTAATACCTAACTTAACCTTAATTTAAGTTTATTAAATCTTTAGCACACAATACCTTATCTTATGTATACAAATATGTTATATATTTATGCATAAATCAAAAAACGTGTCAAGTCTCGCGTATATCCCAACGGTATAGCTATCAATTTAAACCGCATAACACAGTGTCTATGCCAAGTGTCACGCCCGTAGGATACCCGATGCGAGGTGATCCATTTGAAATTGTTATGAATGGATATGTGTGATGCGTGTTATGGCAACACTTCAGCTGGCATTACTCGAATTTTGTCGACGGCAATTTGTGCCCCGTTGCTGCTGCCTTTTGGCATTGTTTGTCACATAATGTTGCTCGAGCGAACTTAATCAAAATTGTTGCTATTTGGTGCCGGGTAACAGCAACGCCCAACGCCCAGTTGCCACGCCCAACTGCCACGTTGTGCTATGCTCTGCTGTGGGCAACAAAGTAAGCAATTGATGTTAGCTTGGCTCAAAGACAAATTATGATAAACGACCATTAAAATGTTTTCATATGTACACATATGTCTATCTGCCGTTGCTTTTATGATTGCTGTTGTTGTTGTTGCCGTTCTTTTAGCTGCTGTTGCTGCTGCTGCTGCTGCTGCCGGCCGGAGCTACCGTGCGCCGTCAGTTGGCATTTTATTTATTGACTCACCTGATCAACTTGACTGATTATTCGTTTGCATGCACGCTCTGTCGCTCTGTCACAGAAGCAGCACAAACAATAACACAATAACGAGAACAACTTCAACTTCATTCAGAACAATTGCAAAAGCGAATGTCACAAATACACTTCTCAAACACCTGACAAGCCCGAATACTCTTAAACAAGACAGGGAAAAGAATGTAATGAATCAATTGTTGTTTTTGAGTGAATGTTTTACTTAGCTATATTTTTATTTATTTATAGATTAAAATAATTCATTTATTTTAGTTTTAGCACTCTGACCATGATAAACCAAGATTGTTTCAATAATGTCTCATATCCATTTGTAAATATATTTATTTATGCTTGAGGAGAATAGCTTACAAGATATTCAAGAAATTATTGGGGGAATCGCCAAGAAAGTTAGTTGAAGCCTGTATAAAAACTATAATCAATTAAAAATTCAAGCTGATCAATTTGATTTAAATACATATTTTGGTTGGAAGGCTACGCTATCACTGAAGTGAAATTCTTCAAAAAGTCACTCGTAATGTTGTATGAGCAGTGAGTATTAGTTGAGTTGCCTAGTTAAGTTCTTGTAGCTGCTGAATATGGAGAAAAGCTATGAAATAATTTATATCGCTTTAATTTATACAAATTATGAATATTAAAAACCAATTTAATGTAGTAGTAATTAGTTAATATAAAGTAATGTAATGTTGAGTTGTGTATTCAAGTAGATAATTGGAATATTAAAAATTGCCTACAAATGTGAAAGAGTTGTTTTGTAAAATAACAAATTTCCTAAATATATGTATGCATATGCTTATTGAAGATAAAATCAAATCAATGTCATAGCCATATCCACATATCCATACACTAACTAAGCCTTTGCAAAATAAATAAAATAAGGAAAATTTATTGTTAATAATTTATTTATTTACTTATTTTTTTTTTTTTTTTTTTTTTTTTTTTTGTCAACCCTCTTCTTGTTTGTCCGAACTTTCATCTATTTTCCAAATATTTTATGTCTGTAGAAAACAATTCGTAAAGTGTAGCATCTGTCTGATCTCATTTAGCTCTATCAATTAATTAAATATAATTAGTGAAATATAGGTACTTTTTCATAGAACTTAAAAATCTGATACAATGTTACATCTGTATTTGTAAAAGCGTGAAAGGAAACTGAAAATAAAATTGTTGAACTCAGAGTGGAAATAAGAAATAAACTTTGTTTATACAGCCTTATTGAAGGTGAGGTAAGCTTTCCAATACGCTACGAGCTGATCGGGCATGTGGAACAGAGAAGGGCAGGAGGGATTCTGGGATAGGGACGGCTTCGCTCGAAAGCAAAGTCGAAGCGACATGCGAAACAATTCAAAGTTTCACGTCGTAAATTTGGCGGGCGACTTCATCGATCACTTTTGGACTTGTTGTTGTAGTAGTTGTTGCCTTTGCTGTAGCTGCAGGTTGACTTATTTGCCCGATTGCCGAGCCCGAGCTGAGGACGAGACTGCCTGGGTGCCGGGTTCCAGGTTCCAGGCTCCAGGTCCCGGCTCCAACGGCTGAACGGCACGCGCGTCTTGTTTTTTTCTGAATGTCGTTGTTTGTGTTGTTATTTCGTTGTCATTGTTGCTGTTGTTGTTGTTGTTGCAGCGGTTTGCTGGAGCGGAAATGGAGACTGAGTGCGCCCATTGGCGGCATGTGAAAATATTTCCCAAGGTGAATGCCACAAAAAAGGACAAACCCAAAGCACAGAGCGAGCCCATCCATGGCAACACGATTCCAGCTGAGCCCCCGCCACAGCACCGTTCCGTTCCTGTTACCGTGCGCCCAGCCCCATGCCCCTTCCGTGAGCCCCAATTGAATGATTTAGGGGCGCACAGTTGTCAAAGAGCAGCGATGCGTACGGGCCCACAGACGTGGACCTGTGGCCAAGGCTCTGGTCCTGCCATTTCTGTGTCGCATATCCCCAGCCCCAGTCGCCCCAATAGTTGCAACATTGGTGGGGCGCCAAGTACGCTTTTAAAACCGATTCATCCGCTCATTTGATATTTATTGCAGCACATAATTGAGTGTAAAATTGTACGAAAAAAAAATTGAACAAAAACTTGAAAGCAGCTGCACGCCTGCAGAAAAATGTTTTTAACTGTCTGATAAACTATATATTTAGGCTATTTACATTTTTATCTTTTAATCATTTATGACAATATAAATGGAATAAATAAATTAATCGTCAATTTTAATATATCAAACACTTGAGATTTTAACAAAAATTATTAATTTATAGTTTGGGTAAAAATAAGAACTTTGTAACAATTTTAAAAAAATATGTAATTTGTTTCTATTCAATTTTATAGTAGTTCTATTTATTATAATTCTCATTTATATTATATTTGTATATTATTTTTCATTGCTTACTCAATAAACTCAATTACATTTATTACATAATATTTTATTTTATGAAAATATATAATACATTGAAATACCTTCCTAATTAACAATATTATTATTTTTAAAATATTTATTAAAAAGTAATTGGATATTTTAAAATTTATAATTGAAAATAAATTTAACCACAGGCGTAGCATTTCTGCCCGTGGTTTTCTCCTCATCCATAGCAGACGGCAAATGGCCAAATGATTCTTCCCTCAAAGAGAAGCCGTCGGGCCGTGCTCAAAGCGCTTTGGCAACGTGGGCAGCGCTGTCGCTGCTCACGTTAAAGGCGACAGCGACGTCGATGTCGGTGTCGACGTCGACGCGCTCGACTCGGTCGGTTCGGCTTGCTGGTCGGACTGCGTAAATTTATGTGAGAAATCCCATTGAAAAGAGCAACGCGGCCGCTCACGACACAATAAAGCAAAATAATGGCACATTCGTCACACTTAACGCGGCCGCATGCTGCCGTCCCTGTCGCACGTGCGATGCGGCTCTGGTGCGCGCTCGCTCGCACACACACAGAGTCGGCGGCGTCATCCATCTTGGAGGCGAGCGCTGGTGCTGCTCTCTGGCAAGCGACAGGCGAGAATGCTTTATGAGCGCGCGCTGCAGCGGCTCCTCCCTGTTTGCGACGCGTTGCCAATTGGTGGCGGCGACGCTGGCCGCGGCAGAGGCCGAGGCAGCGGCAGCGCCAACGCAAAGTTGGCCAAGTATCACTGTTGGAGTCGGGCATGCTTTTTTCAGCAGCATGTTGCACGTGGTGTTGCACAGTGTTGCAGACACACAGCAGCTGCTGCTGCTCTCTTCTGCTTCTTCATTTTCTGCCTCTGCCGATCTCATGCTCACGCTCAGTGCGACCAACAGCTGTGGCAAGAGAGCAGCAGCCGTAGCGAAATTGAGAGCAAAGAGACTGAGAGCGAGTGAGAGAGAGAGAGAAAGATGCTGTCAAGCCATTTCGCTCATTCGGGGTGGTTCTGTGTTGCGTGCGTCTGTGTGTGTGTGCGTGTACTTACATGCGTGTGTGTGTGAGTGCGTGTTGTTTCTGTTTTGCGGCGATTGTACGCCATGATTGTTGTGCCGTCGGCAAACAAAGATTTCAGATATCCGGCAGCCATAATTCTCAACAGCGAATAGCTCAAAATATGAAGCGCGGGTTGCAATACTATAAATTTGTCAAATTATTTTTTATGAAATATCAAAATTTGGCTAGTAGATTTAAAATAAAGGTTTTTAATGTACACATTTTTTTTAAACACTAAAAAATAATATTTATTCTTTACCTACATCTGCACATGTCAAACAATATATATTTATACATATTTTTATGTTCAAAACTAAACAACAAAAATATACGTATATATTTTGTATACTTAAAGCACATGTGTTAAAAGTGCAATACTTGAATAATTATATTTTTTATAATAATATTTAATTTGGTTTAACGGAAGCTTCGATTATCTTAAATAATACTGAAAATTGTATGAGAAATTCAGATTATATTATTGTATTTTACCTATTCGAAATTCGGAACATTTAATAAGTTTTACTACCGCTTTCCGATTAAGTCGAAAGCTAAGTTTAAATTAATTTATACAAATATATATAAATCCGCATGAATATATCGCATAGAAAATATTTGATTCAAATTAACATTTTATCTTATTTTAAATGAATGTAAGATATCTGAAATATATATTTACAAGGAAAAAAAACCAAACAGTACACAACAATTATTCAATAATAATTCAAAAATAAAATATAACGTACCAAAATAAAAATTCAAAATTGTTTCAGAAATTCGCATTTCCATCGGGCTTTCAGCTTAAGCCCAGCTAAGAGGCAAACTTGCTGCATGGAGCCGTCGCAACTCAGACTGACAAAAGCCGCAAGTGGCCGCTGTGCGAATGTGAGATACAAACACAACTGGCAGCGGGCAACTGGCAACTGGCTGTGCCACAAGCTGTGGAAGCTCTCGCAAACGTAAATTTCGCACTCATTCACTCATTCGCTCAGCTCAGGAGCTCCAGAGCGCCGAATGCGAGCAGAAGATACTTTTTTTTTGTTTGGTATGTTTGTTGTTGTTCGTTTCGTAGTGACTGCAGATACTTTATGGCCGACGCTAACGGCGCCGCCAGCGCTACCGTCGACGCTGGCGTCAGCGTCGGCAGCGTATGGCATAAATAACGTTGGCAGCGGCTCGGCTGCGGTTCTCTCTTTCGCTGCTCGCTGCTCACTGCTCAGAGCTCGGCGCGTGAGTTTCTTATAAGATTATTTATATACTGTTTGGGGGGCAGTGCGCCGCTGCTGGCGTTGGCTGCGCTGCGGCAGCGGCCGGCGCGTCGCTTCTGGATTAATAAGGAGTTCTCGCTTGGATTTTCACATGTATATGCTTTGAATTGAATGCTTTATGGGTTTAGTTTGATAGAAGTCGTAAAGAAATCAACATCACAGAATACAAAAACGCACCCGTGTGTAGTGTAAGCCGTGTATGCCACACGTTGTCCGCCGTCGTTGTCGTTGTTGTTGTTGCCGTCGCCGTCGCCGTCGCCGTCGCTATCGTAGTCGTTGTCGTTGTCATAGTTGTTACTCTGGTTGTTATTGTTGGGGGGCACCATCTGAGCAGGAGCAGCAGCAGCAAGAGCAGAGCCAGCACCACCAGCAGCAGCTGAAGCAGCGGCATCTTTTGGGTCTGTTTGGCCAAACTATTCGGTCGCTTACGGTCGTCGTGGTCAGCTCGTCGCAACGCCGCCAATACGCCCGCCCGCTACGCTGCGGCCAATTGACAGCTCGTAAAAGAATCGTTAAAATCATAAAAATTATCATAACAATAATCGTAAAAAATTAGAACCGCAACACCAGTCGCACATTGGCCACAGCCACAGCCACAACCAGAGTCAGAGCCACAGACACAGACAATAATCGCAGTCAGAAGAACGCGCGCGTTTTCTCATACTTTCTCTCTCTTTCCCCCGAACACTTCTTATGTTGCTGTTTTTTATGATGTTGACCCGCGTAGATACTTAAGCGCCCATAAACACCTACCGTTCCAACGTCTGGCAGGTGTCTAACTCGGCAATAAAATTGTGCAATAAGTGAATTAGTGTTAGCATTACACTTGTTACACTCTCCAACCAAATAAATAAATACATGCTTAAATACATCAAGTGATTCACGCTGAATATTTCTCCTGACTTGGCTCTAGCCAAAGCGTGTGAAGTTCGTCTAACATTTCTAGTCCCAAAGTAAGCAATATCTATACAAACCCAGCAGACAGCCAAAAAGAAAGAAAAAAAAAAAATAACAAAGTTCAAGAAAGTAAAGCAAGTGCAGATAAAAACATAAAAAAGAAAAGAAAAATAATCAAACAAAAATCTACAAAAAAAGTTTACGGTGTAAAAAGTTTCTGAGCACGTGCACAACTGCAAGTTGAATTCGTAAGCCAGCCATAAGGATCAAGGATTTGCGCAGTCAAATTTGGATTTAGACGGTGAGTTGCAATACGATTTGCAGTTGCCGCTTTTTGCGGCAACACTCAGTCAACACTTCATAACTCATAAGCTGCGCTCCCCAGTCTCGTTGCACATCATTCAAACTGCAAACTGTTGACAGGCTTATTAGACATTTGCATAAATTTGGCCAGCTAGTAACTATGTCCACTTTCGAGTGTCCACTGTGCAGGAGTCGCACTGGCCAGAGAGATAGATTCTGGAGTCTGAATCAGGGCTAGCTAGGAGTAATGGTCGCTTTGAACTTGGAATCGTTTTGAATTATTGCACATATCCTGGGCAACATAGTTTCACTTCCGCATGCGGCAGCCATTGCGGAGTGTGAGTGTACACACTCACACACACACACACACACATAGACAAACTGCCTGTGCATAGAAAATTTATGCGGCCATTGTTGCGGCGCATTGTTGTTGCTATTGTTGTTGTTGCTGTTGTTGTTGTTGCGAATGTCCTAGTTGTCTGCCTCCTGCATATTTGTCGCACTCTTTGTCTGCACTGCAACCTTTTCCCTCTCACTCTGTCTCTCTCTCCCTCTCTCTCTTTCCGTCGCTCTCAATTAAATCTCTGTCTCGCTCGCTCTGTTTCCCTCTCGCGCTCATTGCACTTGCGCTGAGATTTATTTCATTTTGAAAGTTCAATTATTGTTTTTATTTTAAATAAATAATACAAAATATTTGTTTGATTCGTTGTTGATTTTCTGCTCAATAAAAGCCCTTAATGAACCTGCGAGCTTCTCTTTATTTATTTGTTGTTCGCGCACTTGTTCTCTATAAACAAATGGAGTTCAGTTTGTTTTTAACAATTTTTGCCATCAGCAATGATATTATTTGCTCATAATTTATCGATTTAATCAGCCGGAAATGTTTCACAGCTGACAAAATCATAAACTCAACTACGATTGCTCGATCTGCTTTTTGTTTTTGTTTGCCTGGCAAAAAGTTCATGATTTATGACTCGGACAGGACGAACGGACGGACGGACAGTGGGCATCACACAGTCACATTGATGCACTTCCAACTAGTTACTTCCACTAGTTACAGTCGGCTTGATAGCAGAATATTTTGATAAATATTGTCAATTAGTCAGTATATTTATTATTTAGAATAGCAAAGCTCAATGGGAAATGTGTATATAAGTAAATAAATACATGTATACTGAATTAGAGATAGATATTATCTATTGCAAATACAGAAAATGTTTCTATGTCTAATACAATCATCAAATTCCTTTTTGAATATTTTCAATATAAATTAAAAACATTGATTTTTTTTTTTTTTTTTTGCTGTGTTCTTTACACATTTAATTACACAAATATTTTTTAAAAAAAATTGTATACATATTTTAACAAATATTCATATTTTATTTTCCCTGAATTTCTTTGTACATTTATTTAGAATGCCTTTAATAAATTAATGTATTTTAATTACTTGTTTACTTAAAACAATTTCGATATCTTCTTTTCACTATGCCCAATTCGTGAATGAGTAAATAAATAATAGTTTTCTCCCTCATTCCCTCGGCATAATCGAATGTGTTCACATTTTAATCAAATTCACACATTGGGACATGATTTATATATTTAATAATCCCGCCATAAAAATGGCGACAACTGTTTTGTAAATGCATTAATCACCGCTGCTCGGACGTCAGAAGGAAACTAAAGCCGAGCTAAACATACAACAACAATAACAAATGAAACAGACCAACAAATAAAAATATATATACACATATATTTATGTACACATATATATATATATGTGTATATTCAGAAACAAAAAGCTCGGAGCAACAAAACAACGAAGCAAAACTTGTTTACTTAAAACAAATGCCGTGCCTTTGAAATTTAAATTATATTCAAAATCATTGATAAATGGTGACACGAATCGACTAATTAATCAAATGCAAAACTCCAAACGAATAATGAACCAAAAAAAAGCCCAGAAAACCACAAAAAAAAAATTTGAATGTCTAAGCCCAAAGCAAAACAAACAAAATTTCACACTGATTATATACGAATTCAATAAGTTTGTCTTAAAACGGTATTTACTGCTGATAAATTGCTACATTTGTATTTTGTTAAAGTTCACAAAATGACGAAAAGAGTTCATGATAAGAAGTGTATAATACTATTAATTATTTTGGTTGTTTCTATTTCTAAGAAATCTCTCTGCTGAATCGATTTTGTATTCAGAAAAAGGAATATATTAAGCATTTGAGGTGCGTTTAATAAAATACAAATTATGAAAGTCTCGCGACATTATAAAAATATTATAACATAATATTATGAAATCATTTCGACTTCATATGTCAAATTAAAATAAATTCTTCTATGCTCGAGTTGACATAGTGTTCTCATATAGTATTCACATAAGATCAAACAATTTTGAAATGAAGATACATATAAATCTAATTTTATAACAATATCAATACAGCAATGTCCAAAGGTTAATCAATTTCAGCTCAATTAAATAACATTCATTTATACATTCAAGTATAAAGACTAGCTTACTTTTCTTGCTTAAACTTTTTAATCCTTTAACTTTAATTTTAATCGACAATTTGTCTATCTTAAATGTTTCCATTTTAGCTTTACAGTTCTTATAAACACGTCTCGCTTTTTACTTTGTCTCACGCTTTTTTCTCTGCCCTGCCAAAGGCTCTCAAGCTGTTCACCCACTATGGCGAAAACTGTTTAAGCCAACGGATTTTCAGTGTTGTACGAGTATGCGCTTTTTATTTGTATTTGTATTTTCATCTTTTTTATA